TTACTTTGAAGCTTTCTAGCGTCAACGCAGACCCGTGGCATTCATGGTAACGCGGAAAATACGAAATATGTGGAATATATATCTATCGCTCTGTGCGAATATATTAGTTTAAAAACGTTCAATGCAAAAATTACTATTAGAGCTACCTATACCATGAGACAGCCATGCTGATGGAACGTTCTGTCGCGTGTGTTACACCAATAGGCTCCGTGCAGGAACTGTATGCGAATAAACGTTCCGTTCTGTGTTTTGGAAGTTTAGGAAAAAACAGTGTAGGAATGTAAAAATGGATTAAACTAAATAAATAATTTGATTAAAATAAACCAAAAAATAAATTATTGAAACAGCATTATAGTGAGAAGGAAAAAAACGTAACACTTTTCAAATAATGTTTTACACACATTTATATTATTTTTTACAGTATAATTTTGGCCTTTATATGATGAAAAATGTGAAAATATATAGCTACCGTGTAAATTTTAGGATGAGGGTCCCTTGCACAAGGCATTTAAAACAGTAAAAAAAACAGTTTTGGTCAATGATGTTACACTAAAGAAAAAAATGGTATAGAAACTATTTTCTTTCAGAAATTACAAGTAAATGGTACGTAAAAATTGAATTAAACGTTAAATTTTAAAGTAAACTGAAACAATATTTTCTTACATAATGTACTCCAATAATCTTTATTTTATTTACACATTTTTATATATATATATATATTTTTTTACAGTGTATGTCCATTTATGTTCGAATTTCATAAGTTATAAGAAAATGTATTAAAATCGTATCCATTCATAAAACGATGCTTTAATATACCTTTTTCAAGATGAATATGTTTCAGTCTCTGAATTAAAAGTCATGTCCAGGCCAAAATGTCTAGGCCAGGATGTCAAAAAAAGGAAAAAGCCTCAATAAAGGCCTGTATTGTGGCAGACTTGATCTTTTATTTATTAGTACTATCATAAACAAAAAGTTTGCATTAATTTATAATATGCAAATAAGCAATTTTGCATGTAAAAATCCCAGGAAATGACGAAAACTTAATTAAAGTCTTTATTATGCACATCATTTACAACATAAGTCACATTTAACTGTGCTAGTCTGTTGCACATATTTGAACTGGTAGGATCCTCAGACTACAAGTGACACAAATGCTAGAAAAGAACGGAAAGAGTCTCTCAGTAAAGTTTATTGTGAGTGAGCACAGATGAGTGTCGGTTACAGGATCAGAAAAAGACACCTTTCCTCCATCCCAGTCGAGTAAAACTCTCACCCTCTGCAGCTTCTCTTTAACACTAATTGGAGTGTAGGCTTGGTCCTGGTAATATGAGAAATATTTGTTATTTTTGTACCACACGCACCAGACATCTTTGCCAAAGAATGCAAATCCCTCCCTAGGGTTGGATGCTGTGGTTATTCCTACAGTCCAGTGTGTATTGTCGCCAACCTCCACATCCCAGCAGTGTGTTCCTGAGGTGAAGCCTTCAGAGCCCAGAACACACGGATAGATGTCGAATCTCTCTGGATTAGCGGGACAGGCGTGAGTGTCCGTGCTCCACGTCAGACCGGTCAGATCATCAGACAGCGTGAGCTCGGGATGTGCAGTGTTGGGGTCCAGAATCACAGGAGCTGATGAGACAAAATAATCAAGAGTTAGAGATCTATCATGTATGCACATAGGCAAGGGCTGGGTAATGAGACACGTTTCTCAATTCAGTTTTGATCTCATTTCAATTTGATTTGATATCGATTCATATGGATATATAGACAATCAGGTACGGTTCATGTCCATTTTTTCAAGGAACAAATCTCTCTCGACTTACTACAATAAGCCCTGTTCGCTGGTAGCTACATTAGTAAACAAACATCTAAATTGCACACAAGGCGGTTTTTATAATAAAAAGATTATAATAACTTTTCAATGGTATAATTATGTTCTTACTCCAGTGGATGTCATAACTTGTTTTCATGACGAATTTATTCAAACATTACATCCCAGATAGCACACGTACATCTGCAAGATGTCTGTTAAAGATCCATCGATCTGGAAAGCATCTGCTGTGTGCAAACATCTGACAGACGTCTTTAAGATGCCAGTTTTCCATACATTCTAAATCATGAACATCTTAAAGACATCTAACGTCTATTTGACATCTGTAGACGTATTGCAGATGAGCAAACGCTCGAATAAATACGTCTTGCAGATGTAAATGCCGACGTCAAATAGACGTCTCCATGATGTACGTGTGCTTTTCGTTATATATAATAATATATATAATATATTTCGTGTATTTCGTTCTAGAGTTCATTTTTCTAGCTAGCTATCGAGTTTATGGCCATTGAATGCTTTTTCTGAGGTAAACGTGACGTCACGTGACATTGTTTACAAGCGGTTTCATTGACGTCTTTCTGCGATTCAAACATGACCCACATGAAAAAATACTATAGTAATGTATAGTAAATACTATAGTGTTTTTGAACCATACTATAGTACTTGAATTAATTTGTTGTGGTAATTCTATAGTTGCTGTGGTAATATAACAACTATAGTAATACTGTACTACGTTTTCTACAACTATAGGGTATATTATACTACAATACACTACAGTTTACTGTAGTAAAAACTAAAGTATACTACAGTATTTATTACAGTTTATCACTTCACTATGGTTAATACTACAGCATTCATTAACAAAGGGTTGTAAATACTATAATATATACAGTATAATACTCTTTATGGTTCAAAAACACTATAGTATTAAAAGCATCAAACCACAAAGCCTACTGCGAATTATTGGATGGGAGGTGCGCTACGAATAGGTCAAAGGCTGATGATACACTGATGCAATGTTGCTTGGGCATTTTCCCACTGAGAATGGGTAACAAATTTTTATCTGGAAACTTTAGATCGGTCATGGGCCCTGTGTATCACCTAGTTGCCCATTGACAGCAATATTAACCAAAGTTGCCCTGTGTATCATCAGCCTAACCTTTTTGTTCACGCATCAACTGAAAACAGCATAGATTGATCAGTTATTTAAAGGGGTCATATGATGCGATTTAAATTTTTCCTTTCTCTTTGGAGTGTTACAAGCTCTTGGTGCATAAAGAAGATCTGTAAAGTTCCAAAGACTAAAGTCTCAAATCCAAAGAGATATTCTTTATAAAAGTTAAGAGTCAGCCACACCTACCTAAAACGGCTCGTTCTAACACGCCCCCACATGTCTACATCACTATGTGGGAAGATTTGCATAACGCCGCCCAAATGTTCACGCAAAGAAAGAAGGCGTAACTTTTATTCTCGCTGTAGTATTGTTGCCGCCGCCGCCGCCATGTCGTGAAGGCGCTGTGTTTTTCGTTGTGAAAGTGAAACTACTTTGTTTGGCCTTCCAAAAATGGACACGACTAGAAATCAGTGGTTAAGTTGTATTTACAACACTGTTCCAGAACAGTTCAACACAAATATTCAGATGTGTGCAGCACATTTTATGGAGGACTGTTTCCTGATCCTGGTAGAGTAGACTACAATGCCGGCTGTTCTGACTCACAGACTGTAAGTACGTTTTTATATTTAAAGAATTTGCCACTGATGATTCAAACGTGAGTTTTGGGCAGTGTAGAGTAGGGCTTGTTTGTCATTTCTCCGATCACAAATGCACAAAATGGTTTTATGTTTACGCGGCGCGATGCAACGTGTAAAAAGACATTATTATCCGTAATTATGTCCCCACTGGATGCAACAAATGCCTCGTTTATAACGGGTTTTCATGTTTTTGTCTAGTCGCTCTGGCCGGACAGGGCATCATAGTGTGGTAGGGGTGTAACATTTCCGTCACATGCTTGAGGTATTCGGCCAATCACAATGCACTGGATAGCTGGCCAATCACAGCACACCTCGCTTTTCAGAACGATGAGTTTTGTAAAAATCGACGCGTTTCAGAAAGGCGGGGCATAGAGGAGAAACAATAATAAAGTACAGTATGTGGAAAATAATGTGTTTTTTTAACCTTAAACCGCATAAACACATTTCATTACACCAAATACACAAAATAAATGCTCTTTTTAGCAACATCATATGACCCCTTTAAGTTTATCAAAATGAGAATCGATCTATGCGAGAAATCTGTATTTCTTATTTATAAACCAAGCCTAATATATACTAAAAGACTCACCTTTTTGGACAATATCTCGCATCTTCAGCCAGACTCTAAATGTCAGGTTTCCCAAGTGATTTGCCACATGAATCAAAGCTGCAGGACTCATGTGAGGCTCCTGCTGTGGGCCCCGGGCTCTGGAAGATCAGTCTGCAGTGGGTTTGAGTTCACATTCATATGAAGAGAGTGACAGGAGGCTGAACACTTACCTTTCCATTGTGGCTTCAAAGTTCTGGAAAAAAGGCAGAAAAAAAATTATTATAAGAGAAAAATATCCATAAGCAGTTCCTCAGCTAATGCTGAAACATAGAACAGTGGTCCTCAGCGAGGGGGATGCCAGATAACTTAAAAACAATTTAATGAATAAATTATTATTAATATATTAAAATGACTGATCTTAATTTAAAATAAACAAATATAATCAACATGTAAACAGACATATTTTCGATTCTTCAAATAAATAACAAATATTGTGTTAAATTCTAAATAAAAATGTTACAAAAAATCAAGGTGTAAACTGATATAATTTTTCCTTCAAATATTGTTAATTAAAAAATGTTTCTGTTAAAATAATATACCTCTCATCTAAATTAAAATGCTAAAAACACATAATATCAAGATGTAAACTGACAAAAAATAATTTTGTCCTTCAAATAGTGTTAAAATAGTATAAATATGAAAAACAAAGAAAATAATTTCAATATTGTTTTTAATATAATAATATAATTTTAATATAATTAAAATGCTAAAAGTAAAGCTAAACTGACATAATTTTGTTTCTTTAAATATTGTTAAAATAACACAAATAATAAATAATTTAAAAATTCCTTCACAAATTGTAAAAATAATATAATCTAAATTAAAATGCTTATATAGAGAGAGAGAGAGAGAGAGAGAGAGAGAGAGAGAGATGTAACTACATCATCTGGGCCCCAAAAGCTTTTATTACCTCTTTTATCATATATATATTTATGGGTTAATAAAAGCTTTTGGGGCCCAGATAGCATCTACAAGCAGGGGCCAACAGCGCCATGCTAACCAGCCAAAACATGACCTCTTGATTCCACCTACCATAATTTTTTTTTTGGCATAAATTAAATGATATCAAATGAATCTTTATACACATTGTCAGAATTGATCAGATATGGTCAGTTCTCACATTTAGAAACGTGGCATCTTTGGCTTTCATTTGCTCCTCGATGTGCTTTATTGTGTCTGAAAGAGCTGAGATCTGTGTGTTCATCTCCTCCAGCTTCTGCTTCATCATCTGAATCTTCTGCTCCTCTTCCTCCCACAGTGCAGTGATTAGTGCCTCTTTTTCATCGATGAGGAACTGATGAAGCTTCTTCAACTCCTCATTAATCCGGCGCTCTGTGTGCTGAGCTTGAGTCTCAAAGACAAACAGAAATAACGTTCAGTTCAGTTCAGTTTTGTGTTGAGTGTGCTGAAGGGACAACATTTGACAGTGTATCTTCACCTGGATGTGTTGAACTGCTTCCTCACACTCTCCTTTGACTTCCTCTGTGTGTTTGAGCTTTTCTTGTAAGGACTTCAGCTTGATACTGAGCTCCTCCTAGAATTTAACCAAGAAATAATGAGAAAATCCCACTGCATGTTATCCCTAGTCCAAAATATCCATAAGGAATATCAACATAATTCAGTTTTTTTTTCTTTCAAGATATCATATCATATACACACTTATATATATATGCAAACTACGTTTTCTTGACTGGATAACCAGTCTCGCTAGTAAAGTTTTGATGGATGAAGACTGCAATCAAGGTCAAGACGATTGCGGTGGCGTACACGAGTCGTACAGTAAGCACGCATGAGTCTGTTATAATAATGCGTGTATGAGTGCTCTTGATGCACTGATCGCACATTGTATTTATGCACAGGCACAGACATTTCCGTACATTCACGTTGTTTCCACACACATTCACGATAATGTTTTGATTTGTCATGTTTATGTTGCTGTGTTTAGTTATTCTGAATGGATCCGTGTGCTGTAGTAGATAGGCTATATGCAGTCAGCAGGCGGTTGGTTTAGTTTTTTTTTGGCATATCCGTGTGGTCCTGTTCGGTATCGCAACTTGGCTTCTCTAAAATGTAAAAAAAGCTCTTTGGTGTTGCACTGTATACATACTATAAAATTCAGATTTTTTTTCTTTC